CACAAAGGGCTTGAACCACACTTAATAAGTTCTAATACACTTTTATAAATAGTCACAAGCATCAAACAACTCTTAATACAAGAATTAACCATCCAACCACTATAAAGCACATATCAAGGAGGTGAAAATGTAATTATTTGCATTCAAGCTACATAATCACTTAAAACATGTAAAACTTATTTAACTAGTCAAAATATACTTGTTCAAACTATATTAGCACACTACCATAGTCAGATTAAGGGTTTGGTCCCTATTATGGCTAGGAAAATTAAAAAATGACTAAATTCAATGTTTAAGGTTATAGATGGAAGTGGACTTTAAATAAACATAAGTCAATATGAAAGACTCGTAGTTGGCAAATATTATATTCAAATTACATATAAAAGATAAAACTAGAGATATTACAATTGATTACTCAGTTTTTAGCTTTAAAGGCCTCTCTTTGCCTTTAACTTGATCCTTGCCTGTAAACCTTAAATTATAGGAGTGAGATAAATATCTCAATAACCAAGTAATTTAATCAAGCATATTAAAGTGTGGCAATCACAACAATTAAGAGTTTAATATTACATAAGGCAAACCAATATTATTCACAATGCATCTTTATGATGTGTTTCGCAAAATCAAATGCAACTGCCTTATATCTATCCTTACATCATCTAACTGAATCCATGGGCTATTTTCTCATATAGGTCTAGCCTATATGATTGGACTAGCCCTACTCACTCGGCCAAAGACTCCCACACTCACTCTCGAACTGTGGTTTTCCCCTACTTGAATTTTGGGGTGTTATAAGTGCTCGACCTATACCATCTAATCTAGGTTCGGTGATACTGAGCATTGTGCCCAACCTATGCTGCACCCGTAGGTTGTTAGCAATACTAAGTACATATAGTAATGAAGTATGCTAACCACAGTGTGCAAACTCAGTGAAGCTAGACAATGTGAATTTTCTATCATAATCCCTCCACTATACTAGGGTGAACTCCTACACATTATGATCATGCAAGTTCAATCAACAAATGTGAATATAAGCTTATGCGTATTATATTAATTCATCATCCTCATAATTTTTTGAGCTTGCATGCTTATCATAGTTTACACTATATTATAATTTACAATGGCTCATTATATAATCAACTCATAGCAATCCAAGCTACAATTTATATTTCAAATACCAAATAACATGTATATAAATATAATTACCAAACACTTCATCACAATGAGTCATGTTTCATATTTGGGTAATAGTTTAAAATCACTATATTCATCCATAAACTCATTTTAAGCCATCCATAATAATGCTTAAAGTGTAAATGCAAACAAAATGATATACTATAATTAAATTTTCAGTTATCTCAACTCTTGGTTTACCAACCAAGAGTACTCATGAATATCAAATGAAGCCTCTAATAAGCTCAATAGTATTAACAATGGTCAATCTACAATCAAACATATCAATAGTCATTTTAATTATCTTTAATTAACTCTAATTAAAGCCTAAACCCAAAAATTCTATTGTGGTCATCTACCCACAGCCAAATCTACTTTTAGGTTTCATCAGTTCACTTTGACTTCCATTATTCTAATTAACATCATTAATAACTCATAATCTTTTTATCTCAACTAATTAGCTCTAGGATTTACTTCAAACCTCACTTTGAAATCCTAAAACTTCATTAGCACTATAACTCAAAGGTTAGACACTTAAATAAACATCCATTAATCCCTTTGAAGTCAAAATTTTAGAAAAAATCACAATCTATTTTTGGATTCCTAAAGAACTACCTAAAAATAATAATGAAAATGACCAATAGAGGAAGGAAAGAGGTTGTGGGCACTTATTTAAATGATTAAAAGCTCTAAATAGACTCAATTGGATACCCATAACAAACCCTAAAAGAGCTCTCCTTGTTCACCTTCGGACTCCTACTTAATTCTTTAATTTTGTGAACTGAAATGTGAATATAGAGGCTTAAAAATCAAGTTTTGGCTATGGCCAAGGGACTTTCAATTGTGGCCAAAGATCAAAACTTAAGGTTCTTAATATGGTCCATCTAATTGGGCCTAAATATGACCCAATATTATTTAGGGTCCAATTCTAAGCCCTAATTAAGGTTCGATAGACCTATTACCCGTTCGTACATTATCTTTTAATTCAAGTTAACTCTCAATTGTCTAATTTATCCTTAATTACCCAATTAACCTTAAGTTAAATTTTTCAAGATGTTACAGTACCTATATAAAATGGGAAAAATAGAAAGATAAGTCACTTGAGTGTCGAACACTAGAAGGTTGATGGATTGGAGATGCTTTGGATAACCAAGATTGAGCTCATAAACATCCTCACCAACTCGACCATATATATGATCAACCTTGACAAGTACACACCATATAATCTTACTTTGATCAATGCTGTTGAGTAGATTATAATGCTCTTTGGTTGAAGCATGTTCATTAGAGGCAGCCATATTGCTTTTAAGAAAGCAAGAACATAGGAGGTTGGAGAAGGAGATGGTAGAGATGGGACGGGTGACCACTGGTTGTAGAAAAACCCTATGACGAAAAGAAGGTTGAGCTCAAGAAGAAGGTTGGTGATGAGTAAAGATTAGGGAGGAGAAGCATGCAATGGTTTCCACCGTAAATGATTTTAGACAAGGATTAGTGGTAGATTGAAAGAAAATGGCGAGGTAGGTTGAGACAAGAATGAAAGAACAGTGATGAGATTGTTAATTGAGTTGTAGAAGTAGCTAGGGTTTTTAGGGAACAGGTAAATGAATGGCTAATTGTAAAAGGGATATTTTAGGGCAAAAAAATGTTATAGGGACCAATGGATAGAACCTTGCATTCAAACTTGAAGTTAGGGACCTCTTTTCACTTGAGCAATTTTGTGTGAAACACCAAAAAAGCCCATGACCTCCTTTTTCTTTTTTTGTATATAGATGTGGAGGAATCTCTTTTTCACCTCTTATAAATCCCATAAATACCCCTAGTTACTATTCATAAGCATCAACTTTTTGTAATAGTTATCTATTATATATATATATATATATATTAGTATTCCAATATTAAGATAGCACTTGAGGTTTTCTGGCAGAAAAGTTAAGAAAATTGTCAATAGATAAGCAGTTATAACCGGCTTAACTTAAAAAATGGTTCAAATGACCTTAGGCCTATATATTTAATTGTTCATACGTCCAAGATGTAGTTAAGTATTTTGGGCCTTTTGTTTAGTCTTTCGTAGGCCCAAAAAGAAATTGTGTAATGGCGGGGCTTGTATGTTAAGCTCTTACGCCCCAAGAAATTAAGTTGATTTTTTTTTTTCACCTGAGAAATTAAGTTAATTGGGTCCATATGTTTTTCAACTTTAAGCCTAAGAAGAATTATAGATTTATTGGTTCTAGGCTAATAAAGCTGGGGAGTTGACAAATAATCAGGTCTTTGTCAAGCCTTAAAAAAGGTTAACATATTGGTCAAGTTCTTGAAATTGGACCTTGTAAATTGTCATCCTTAACCCCAAAAATGAAAGACAAAAGTCGAGGCCAACATGGCCCATTAAATGACGAGATTTTTTTATAGAAGAAATTTATTAGGATAATAAAAAATTTAATCCTTTAAATTTATTTTAATTATTGATTTGGTCCTTTATATTTTTTTTAAGTTATCATGTTTAAGCTTTAAAATATAAATTGAGTCTCAAAATAATTTAATGTGTTAAGTATATTAGCGACTTGACATGCTTATATAGTTAATTGAGGACAAATTAACTCTTAAATTAATTTAATTTTATCAATATAATCCTTAACACCATGTTTTGTGCTCTTGTTTTTCAAAATTTTAAAGTATGCTTTTTCATACATAAATAATTATATTTTTTTCATTAATCTATATTACTGCCATCAATATTCTATTATGCATATCATCAAATTTTAACAGTGTAACCTTTTTTTTTAAATAATAAAAACCAAATTAATAATTAAAGTAAACTTATAAGATTGAATAGGTAAAAATTAAATTTAATGAACTAAATTGATAATCGTGATAAATTTAAGAAATTAAAAGTTACACTACTCCAATTTATTTTGAGGTTAAAATATGAACGAAGAGAAATTACCTAGGTTAAATATTAAAGTTACCTAAGGTTAAAGAATTAGCTACGGTTAATTTTAACTGAATGTAATTAATAAAAGTAACTATGATTAGACAAAAGGTAAATGGAGTTCGAAGTTAACCAAAGTTAACTAATCATGGTAAACCACTTAATGATGGCTTCTTCAAGAAGCCAAGACACTTGGCATGTGATAAGATGAGCAGGAAAAATTAGACTTTGAAACGAAAGGCTGTGTTTATAACCCACAAATGTAAGTGCAGTTGGTAATAATTTGACCCATCATCCATATGGATATGGGATCAAATCTCAGAACCAATACAGGATTTTGGTGGGGCTTTTTGAGCTTGGATTTAATTAATGCTCCAAAATATTTTTAACTTTTATAGAATTGGTGTAAATAAAAAAGAGCGTAGAAATATCACTCGATAAAGTCAAAAGAAGAAAGGTGAAGACAATTTTAACTTAGACAACATCGTAACCCCTATTTATATATAATAATTAAAATCACACAAGATTATATATCTTTTGAACGTTTTTAGACAAATAAAAATACGCATATTCGAGTTTAAAACATCAATGAAACAAATGATCTACACACAAGAATCTTCAGATGTTATTGCATATATGAAGCCAAAACAAAATGTTACTAATAGATGAAATCTAATTTCCAAGTGAAATAATTGATTACCAATAATTCTGTCCAGGCTTAATTATAAATGATTTATCAAGTTTTACACGGATCTTTACTTCATGAATTCACTAATAGTAAAAGATATATGCATCATTATCATTCACAAATGTTGAAAAGTCTTATTAGAATCACTCACTTCACAAGTAGCAACACCATATAAAAGCATTCAAGTATCACACATGTTCTAAGAACTTGACTTCAACGAGCTTCAATCACAGTTGTGCTCATTCCATTTACTGAATGAACTTCTTCACCAACTGATGGATTTGAATGATCACAAGTAGTTCTCTTGAAAACAAAAGCTGGTTGTTTAGGGGGAGGAAGAGCTGAGTCATTCTCCAACATGGAAACAAATTCTGACATAGTTGGCCTATTTGATGCATGCTCTTGTACACATAACAGTCCAATGTGGATGCATTTTAGAAATTCATGTTCATGGCATGGGTCACTTTTTAATGATGGATCTACTATCTCCATAGCTCTTCTTTCTCTCCAAAGGTCCCAAATCTGAATAAATCATAGGCATTAGATAATTAATTAGACTATTGAGGAGAAAATTTGATTTTATAGTGGTTGGTCCTTATTGATACTTACATGTCCAACCAAAGTAGAAGGGATGTCATCATAATGACGACTATTCTTTCTACTAGTAACAATCTCAAGAAGTAAAACTCCAAAGCTGTATACATCTGACTTTATTGAGAACAATCCTTCCATCGCATATTCAGGTGACATGTAACCACTGTAAATAACCCAAACATTTTAAATTGAAATATTTAAATTGTTAACTTAAAATATATGGTTTCATGTATTGATATTTCTAGCATATTAACCTATATATCTAACCCAGGTAAAGAATGGATTTGTAAGTAACAAAATGCTAACAAAATGCACGCTACATAGATATAGATATTGATGTCAAAATTATTTACATCTAATTAATTGAGCAACTTGATTGTTTAGTTTTTACCATGTTTATGCGTGATTGTGAAAATTGGGAATCCATGTAATGTAATGCTCAAGAGTATCTGTTGCAATGTTGAGCACTTACTAAGTTCCAACAACACGATTTGTACTTGTTTCAATCTGGTCTCCACCAAATATTCTAGCCATACCAAAATCTGTAATTTTTGGGTTCAATGTAGAGTCTAGCAAGACATTGCTAGCCTTTAGATCTCTATGAATTGTTCGTAATCTTGAATCTTGATGAAGATATAAGATTCCTCTTGCAATTCCACAAATGATATCGATTCGTTTTCTCCAGTTTAATTGTAATTTCTTTTCATGATCTGAACAATAATTTTATAATATTAGAAGTGAGAATACTTGATCAATTTGTCCCTTTAAAATCATGAAAATTTCATCATAACTTGTGAACAAAATGAAAAGAAGACACACCAAAAATGAAAGAGTCTAAGCTTTTGTTTGGTAAATATTCATAGATCAACATCTTCTCTTCTCCTTGGATGCAGGATCCCAAGATTTCTATGTTGGAGTTTTGCAATTAAAACAATTTCATTTTTGAATTCTTCATCGCCTTGTCCAGAATACTTTAACAATCTCTTCACTGCTATTGTTGTTCCATCACGAAGTAGACCCTGAACTCAAAATGCATGATCAATTATATACCTTTGTCGAGAAAAAAAAAAATTTACTGCTAGGAAAGCCCCATTGTTAACTCACAATATTTTAGGCTACTTACAAAGAATAGCTACCTTATGAACAGAACCAAAACCACCTTGTCCAAGCTTGTTAGCATCTGAGAAATTGTTTGTTGCTTCAACTATGTCACTCAGATCAAATAACGGTAAATCTGGATTGCTTTCTCCGTCAAGAAAGTCTCTAGTTCTGCTCTGTGCTGCATCATAAAAAACGATATAGTGGTGACTTATAATACAATATAACTATCACAATGCGCAAGAATGAATTTAAACAAAAAAAAAAAATCAAAGGATTACATACGGCCTTTTGATATAGATTGTAATGAAAATTAGAATATAGTACGTACTTTGAGGAATATAGGTTATTTGCAGGGTGATCGCATTGAATTTATATAGAACTTCATTTTGTGAAAATTTTGATTGAAATTTATCTTACCTCGTTCCTTGTTCTTTACAAAACAAAACACAAGAGAGATCACCATGATCGTTGTTAGGCAGGTAGAAACAACTACAAGTGTCACCATCCCTCTCTTGCCAAGAGAACCATAAGGCTTGTTTTCATATTTAGCTGCAGAGATAATAATATGTCAATGCAGAATTCACCTAAAAAAAGTATGCATGCTTCAAAATAAGAGAATTTACATGCGATATAAATGTTTAATGTCATGTTATTTATTTATTTATCATAATCAATATATATAGAACTCATCTCTAATTTAGGTAATGCAAGAGACACACTAATTAGGTATATTCATGTATTTCTATGTTCAAAAATTATGTAAATGGGGATAATGAAACTTTTAGTCTATTAAGCTTATCTCAATTATCAATTTAGCCCTTCAAGTTTAATTTCAATTGCTTTGGTCCCTTAAATTTGTATTAGTAATTGATTTGGTCCCTTCAAGTTAACTAGGAGGTGACACTGTTAAAATTTGCTAATATGAATAACAGAATATTGATAGTAATTGTGTAAATTAATGAAGATAAATGTGATTATTTAAATAAAAAAGGGAGAATTACTTTAAGATCCCACTCAACACAAAGTAATTCTCCCAAAAAAAAGTAGACTTAAAAATTTAAAGAAAAAAAAAGAACAAAATGCAGTGTAAGGAACTAGATTAATAAAAATTAAATTCATTTGAGGGCTAATTTATTCTCATTTAGTTACACATGAACATTATTAAATTTACACATTAAATCAAATTTTTTTTAAACTTAAAGGTTTAATATAATAATTTTGGAAAACATGATGGACAAGATTGATAGAAATTAAATTTAAAAGACTAAATCAATAATTGAGATAAATTTTTAGAGACTAAAATATTCATTATCCCAAATAAGTATGTACCTAATTCAGCCGCATCCACACGTACGTACAATTCTTGTCCCACATTGTTGAATGTCCTAATATCTTCCATATCAGCATGCCACGTTATGCACCCACTTTGCTTGACCTCATTTGCACTTGTATAAGCTACACACGAACAGTCCCTTAGGCACTTCTCTTCACACCCTTTCAAGCTCAAGCTCCTACTCTTATCCACACGTGCCTTTGACGTATCTGGAACCTCCACAGGTGCTAACTTCACAAACCCCTCGCCATTTTGACACGTGGACACATTCTTCTTCCTCACACACCCACCTGATCCGTTCCCATCAGACCACTCTCGCGAGTTCCTGGGTTCAAATCCTGGCAAACATACACACTCGAACTTGCTGTTTTTATTATTATACACATCACATATGCTGTTTGATCCACACTTTCTGTAGTTGTCACAATCATCTGTTGGACCAGACCAAATTTCAAACCATCTTTGCTCTCTAGCTTGCCAAATTGTTCGTGAAAAGTGACCGGTGTTGTCCATCACCATTCTGAAGAACACTGAAGGGTCTAGGACACTAACTGTTACGGAAACTTCATTAGCATCGTCAACATAACTAACGTTGAACACAAAATTGGGTGTCATATGTGGTATGCCACTAAATCTTTGACCTGTCCAAGATCCCCATCGCCAAAATGGAGCTCCATTTTTATATGTGAACAGTTGAGGATAGCCTGTTGGGTCGATGCTGAAGCTCATGTTCCCAATACTAGGATCATCATGGGATCTCCATGATGTAAGGACCCTATTGAAACCAGTTTTTGGATCATACCCACGTTTCATAGATGGAAGTATTGTGCCACAGGCATAATCGCAACTCTGCCATAGAACCTTCTGATTCTTTCCTCCATTTTCAAGTAAAACCAAGTTTCCTGTGTCGAAAAGCTGAGCAAAGGTGTCATTATTGTGAGATTTGATCAAAACATCGGACGACCAAAGAGGGTTGTTTAGGTTCGAGTTTATGTTACTCAGAGCAAGAACCATGTTTCCATGGGTAGTGATGGACAAAACTCCAGAAGTATCATTCAGAGGATTTTCTCTATTGGCTACCCACACAACAGTGTATTTAGAGAATTTGTTAAACCATATTCCGACATAGCGGTTTCTGGAATTGTTGCTGGGGTTGAAGAAACCCATGGCAAAGGTTGCTCTATCAGAGAGCAAAACGTCGCCGTCTTTGAGAGGTTGGCTTGCCGTTATTCTATGAAGAGTGTGACTATAAGAATGAAAGAGGAAGAGAAGAAACAATAGAGTCGTGATTTGTACGGACTCTTTAAAAGAAGACGCCTTCATGGTGTTATGTTGTAAGACTATTTTTTTATATAATCAAAACAGACGAGGTTCTAAATATATATATATATATATATATATATGAAATCCATGAGAGAACAATAGAGATGAGGCCAAGGGGCTAACTTTCGTAGTCTATTAATCAGGTGGAGGAAAAGCGGATTGATATATTTTTTTTTCCTGCAAGTGGAATATATAGTGTGATAGAGACACAGATCTAGAAAACGTATAGACTGGTTAACTTTATAGTCTTCGTGATCTAATCTTTTTACGAGACTATGTTGAGGTTGCATGAAATTTTCTTAAAAGATCGTTGCATTGTTTTAGCCCAGAAAAAAAATGTCTAAATAAGTGTTCAAAGGCTAATTTGTATGTGCACACACACATATATGCAGTGACCAGACATTATATTGTTCTTGGAAGACCAACACTTCGCGGTCAATTTGATGTTCTTAAGGACTTGTTTGGTTGTTGAAAAGAAATGGAATGAAACATAATCCGTTGATAGAAGAATAAATATGACTAAAAAATAAGATTATGGATTGATAAAATGATGGGAATGATAACCGGAAGGGATCGTGATAGAGAGGTGAGAATGAAAATTGACATAGATAAATAGCATTTTTCTCTAGGGGTAATTTGATTTGCGTGTGGCTAATGCTATGTTTGGTATAGATTTTTTTGGAGAGGAGAGAAGATATCGAGATTAAATTATTTGTTTTCTTTTTGAACATAAACATAAAATCTATATGTAAAAGATCACCAAGATATCATGAATATTATATTATTCTTCTATAAAAATATCGCGTATAAAGAATAACACTTAATTTATGTTAAATTTTATTTAATTTGATTTCTGGTGCTTTTGTAATTTGTTTGCTATATATGGTTAATTTAACACAGATATATGGTAAAAATTAAATTATTATCTTCAAATTGGGTGACATTATTTAAAAATTGTTATGTGAATATATGTTTTTTTTTCCAAATATATTTTCTTTGTTTATCAAATGATCTTCTTTCCACTAAACTGAAAAATGTGACTATATTATGATCAATTTAATTCTATGATTATTATATTGCAAAATTATGGGTCAAATTAACCTCCATCAACCAACAGTGACAAGGTTAATTGAATGAAAAAGACTTGATTTTTAAATAAGGGAGATAGTTCAAACTTTGTGGAAGAAAAAAAATCATATTGTGAAAAGGCTATCTCAATTGAACATGATAATGTTCCAACCTAACCTAATAGTTTTTGATATCCAAAGATTAATTATATTGTTTATTTAACTAAATAGAGTGGCATTCCTTACAGCAAGGTAAAGGAAAATATAGTACTAATGCATCAAGCTTCAAGGTAAATTATGATTTTAAATTCTAATTTCAGGAAGTTAGAAAAATGATAAAAATAATGCCCCCCACGTAGTCAGTACCTATCGTTTTCCCTCTTATTTCAAAACCAATATGCACGAAAGAAATGAGATTTTGAAGTCTTCATAGAAGAAAATTGTACAAGAGAAAATGAAGGATTGATGGCGCATCTCTGTGAAAGCGTGTTTCCTAGCAATTTCACGGCACGCATGTCAAGATCAACTTTCCTTCAAGAATCACAACTAATACACAAAAATATAAGATCCCAAGCTTGCAAGTCAAAATACAATAAAATAATGTGTCGTGCGAGCCAAAATACAATAAAATAATGTGTCAAGGTCGTTGTCATGTGGAATCAAATAAAATAGTGAGTGGACATTAAAGTTTCCATTTTTCGTAAGTTATTAAGCAGAAAAAATTGGATTTGACTTTGTAAAATAAAATTGAATTTATGAAATTGCACTAACGTTTTCGAGTCAACAACTACTTATGTCTATGGCAGCCTAGAAGCGAGAATCCCTTATAACACCAAAGGACGTCAATAATCCAACAAAAATACCACATCACTAGTGAATGCAAGGACCCTGGCTATGTCTTATGTGGAGGACCTAGGACTTGACTGTGAAAATAATACAAATTGAAGTTCAAATTTGCATCAAGTTGAGGTTTATTTGAAATAGCTCTTTCACTTCAGTTTAATGATAAAACTTCTTAATGAAAACCTTGAAATAAAGGTCCAGCTATACCATCTGAAGTCAAAAAATATCTTTTTTAATGAATAACATCTTAATTTATAAGTAAAGTAAAAGAAAGAAAGAAATATGAATGAAATGAGTATAAATTTAAGTAAAGTCATCATAACCAAGGTGAATAACTCGTAAATCAAATATTCAATGGTCAAGTATAGAATTAGCCACAAAAACAGCAAGAGAGAAAAGGAAGAATAAAAGCATAATTGGAGTGATTTCTGACGAAAATCACAAGACCTAGGTGTTACGTTCCCCGAGCTTTTCCACCTTTGGACACTCCAAGGACATGCAGCGGTTGAGGAATTGTGAACTCGTTTGAAATTTTCTCCCCAAGACCATTGAAACGCGACTGTAAGTGATACTGTGTATTTTTGTAAAAACTCGTCTGTTGTCACGATACGATTGCCCCCTTCGCTACAATAACATTTTTCAAGAGTTAATTTGTTGCGGGGTTTAAAACTTTCAACTTTGGCCCATAAATAAAACCTGGAATTAATGCCAAAATTGGTCAAATAACTTTTACAATTATCTTGAAACTTATCTATGTCCATTCTCACGGATAATCATCCATTTAGTCACATTTTTACTAATTAATTCAAATAGATAACTTTTAATTGCATTAAAAACTCTCATAAATTCAAGACTTAAGGTTCATTTTTATTCCCTTAACTTTTTTCAAAGAGCACGGGGCATCTTGGGGCAAATTCCCCTTGAACCATTTTTTAGTGAGCAAAAAACTCCTTTCATTAGTCTTCACCAATTAACTGTCATTTTCTATTAATATGGCAAGCATGTGGGGCTTATGCATAGTGATAGACAAGACTCTGACCATATAATTTAGTGCTAATTTGCCCTTGAAATTTTTTCCTGGAGCACTGGGCAACTTGAATTCTTGTTAAGATAAAATTTAATAAATATTGTTAAAATGTTAAATATTAAAATTCAAATATTATTGTTTAAAAATATCCATCCAAAATTTATAAAATATTTTTTAAATATTAATAGCTCAAACTAGTTTTTGTAAATTTATAGTGGACTTGTAAGTTGTATGTGAAGATTTGTGGTAGATGATGATGATGATATTTATAAATAAATTATAGAAAATGACCTTATAAAAAAATTAATATTGATAGGTTTATTAAATTTTTTATGTCATTTTCTATAATTTTTTGGTCAAATAACGGTTTTCCTAAAAAACATTTGCGCTACCCAAATTTAATATTTTGATAATTTAAAACTTTATATTAAAAACAGGAATTGAATCTCCAAATTAATGGATAAAATTAATATTGTCTTGTTAAAATTGTAATTCATGTTTCCAGTTGAAAAATTGAAAACATATTGCATTTGAAAATACTAATTAAGAACTTAAGGGACTTGCTTTACATTTTAAAATTTGTTGAGACTTTATTTGAATAAAGTAATTTCTTAAATATCATTCATCCTAATGAGTAGGAATTGCTCTAGATATATTTTAATCAATATATTTTTAGCCTAGTTGAAAAGTTGAGCAAGTGACATTTTAGTTCTAAATATCCATTAATTTGAATGTTAGTTGGGAAAAAAAAAAATTATAGAGAAAGACTAGAAAATTTAAGAGATTTAATTAATATTAATTTTATTATAAGATCTTTTTCTATAATTTATTTGTAAATATTATGGTTATTATTATTTATAAATATTACATACAAGTTACAAGTCATCTATAAATTTTTGTGAAACTAGTTGAGTTGTTAATATTTAAAAAATAATTTATAATTTTAGATGAATATTTATAAATAATAATATTTAAAATATTAAATATTAAATGTTTAATATTTTAATAACATTTGTTAAATTTTATTTTAACAAGACTTTAGGGTGCCCAATGCTTATGGAAAAGAGTTTAGGGATAAATTAACACCAACAAATATACAAGATTATAGTTCTACTTATCACTGTGAGTGGGCCCTATAGACATGCCACATTAGCAAAAAACAACAAACTTAATGGGTGGTTAAAGGAAAGGTTTTTTTTTTTTTTGCTCCTTGAAAAATGATTTCTATGGAAATTGCCCTACATATCAGTATAGTGAGCCTAGCACTTCTGAAGAAAAAAAGTTCAAGGATACAAATCAACCTTAGCCCTAAATTTAATGAAATATTTAGAAGTCCTCAAATTCCCCACATTTGAACATTTGCTTGTCCTCTAGCAAAGAAAATCACTTTACAAAATGGATGAAAGAAATTGTAGTGCTTGTTGCAAAGTTAAATGCAATTCAAACTTTTAGGAGCTCAATGTAACCAAAAGCCTTTCTTACCATCAAAAAATATTAGTAAGGCAATTATTTATACAAAGATAATTTTCAATAGCTTGTCCCTCACCAGTTAAGTATTTGTTGTCACACTTTGATACTAAGGGTATGACTGGCATGGAATCTGAGATAAACTCACATTCCATAAGCCTTAATTATATGAGATTGAGTTAAAGTATCGATAAATAATATATATATATATATATATAATTGTAAGGTTCGAAAAAAAATTAAATATTTTGTAGAAATTTTGGCAGAGTCTCCCTTGTAATTTGACCATTTTAAAATTTATACAATAACAAAACCTGTCAGCCAATACAGCAAAGGAGTAAGCTCCGTACTAGTAGATTATATATCAATAAAATAAAACTAGGATCTAATTATGGTATACATGGAGCACTAAATTATAACTTAATAATACAATATAGTTTTCACCTAAGAGATGATCAAAAGGTGCTTTCGCTATCCAAAAAACTATGGGACCTTTCAATGATTAGATGAGGCATAAGGTCAGTTATAATATTTAAAACCAAAGAAATTTTTGGTGAGTAGCACTCTAATTAGAATTATAATTAAAATAATTTAGA